GAGCTCTTTGCGGGCAGTGGGTGGCAAGGGCAGAGAGCAACCCGTGGAAAGTGAGGAAGCATACCAGCCAAAACGGGAAGAAAACAAGGGCCATTTTACTCGAAATGGCTCACATGGCCATCCAATGAGAACTAAACCAGGGAAGGAAAGCATTCTCCTCTCCCTGCTTGCTCTCTTCCAACAAAGGAATTTAAATAAGAAATATTTCTCCTGTAATACACTTCATGGGGATTTATTCAGCAATGCTTTGACACGTTAAAGATTTTTGGATGGGGGCGGAGGGGCCAAGAGACGGAATCCAAGGGCCTGCATGTGTCCATTAGCTCACCTCTGTCTCCCTACAGACCCGGCAGCTTCCCGTCTGTCTCCCTATTCCCTACCACCGTCCTCTCCACCCAGTCCCCCATCATCCACACGGCAGCCGATTGACAAAGTAAATCACATCCCGCCACTCCCCTGCCCAAACCCTCCAGGGCACCCGCTGCCCTGGGAATCAGCCCCTCGCCAGGCCTGCAAAACCCACAGGGCCACCCTCCACCCTGGCCTCATCTCCCGGTCCCTCCCCGTCTCTGATACTCTGGCTCCCTGATGCATCTCCAGCACGCCTGTGCTGTTCCCACCTCGGGACCTGTGCCCCCGCAGGCTCTCCTCTGTCTAGACACCTGGTTCTATCTTATTCTGCAAATCTCCTACCAAAGGTCACTTCCTTGGGGAGGCCTCTCAGGACCACCCCACCTAACTGAGGCAGCCCTCCCTTCACACGGCCCTCTTTTGTCCTGCACATGTCTGGGTTGGCTGTGTCTCTTCTGTCCCCACTCCTCTCCCTGTCCAGCATTTGAACAAGGACCTCGCCGGTGTGCAGTCCCCAGCACAGCTCCTGGCACACGGCAGATGCAGAGAAGCATTGATCTAATCAAGGGAAGTGGGCTCGCCCGGGGGCGGGACTTGTGCTGGCTCCGTAGAAACCCGTGTGGAGCACCCGGATGCACACAGGGCAGGCCCCTGCGGAGAAGCAGCCAGACACGATTCTTCTGGAAAATGGCCCACACCCCGCCTTCATGAAGCTGCTGTTCCAGAGAGGCCAGAGCACTGCACTGCTCGCTCCCAGTGCCTTAAGGCTAAAGCTCTGAGGACACAAGATTCCTTCTGGTCTGCCGCGCTCATGGCTGAGGCCACAGCTCAGTCTTCCTGCAGAGTTTGAGACAAATCAGTTGAGTCACTTTTGAATTATAGAGCACTAAAAAAATTAATATTTATGGTTCCTCGATGTCTCACCTCTTTTTGGCCACTCATAACTCAGACTCATTTGGTCTTGAAGCTTCCTAGGTAGGGCCAACCACCATGTTCTTCGGGGCGGACAGGCCTGGCTGGGTGGTAACGCCCCGCAGGCCACATTCACAAGGCGAGCCCATCTCCAGCGCTCACACTGGGCCTCCGATGTGATGGACGGAGCTGCCTGCCAACATCAAGCCCACGATTTCTGTGCAGGCAACAGGAGTGCCTTACGCTGGCTAATTAGGGGTACACTTGCCTGATTGGGCCACATACAGATGGGACAAAAGGCTGATGGCTGGCCAAAAATTTCTGTTTTTGGAAAAGGCCCTCTTGGAAGAATGCCCTCGCCCCTGGGGCTACATTTTGAGTTCACGTCTACTTTGGGGGTCTTCAGCCCCCTGCAGGAGCTGCTCGATGCCCAAGGTCCTCTTTGGTGTTGGGCCTCACTCTGAAGGCCCCACTCCACCACTGCCCGGCTCGGTGACCTTGGGCAAGTTACTTCACCCCCTGGAGCTGCACTCCCTCATCCACGGAGCACCATTCCCAGGCCCCTGCTCAGCGCTGCTGGGAAGACGAAAGCAGACACGCAAGTAAGGCAGTGAGCACAGTTTCCGGCACCGAGAAAGTACTCAGTGCCCAAGTTGTCGTTCGTCCCAGGCCTGCAGCAAGGGCTGGGCGAGCTTGGATTCCGCGTCATTTTGTTGCCGTGCTCACGCACCGTCTGCCGCAGCCCTGCACCCCGTTCCCATCCCGGGGCACCTCTTCCCTTCACCCTGACCAGGGGCCCTCCCCTCATCTGCCCTCAACTCCCTTTTCTGGTCCTCACCCCAAAACCCCTCCACCCTTCCCCCTTGTCACCTCCTGACAATGACACATGCCCCGCCCCATCCTCCTCCCATTTCACGTGAACAAGAATCCACTCAAGAGAAGGTATTCAACAGTTTATTTGTTAAGTTAAAGTAGCCCCGTGGCCTGCGCAGGCGGAAGGGGGCTCCATGGAGAAGGCGTTTTGCCAGACCTGGGGGCCGTTGTCCGTGATAAGGCCACACAGGACACAGCTCAGGTAGCTTTCCCTCCCACCCCAGCCTGGGGCTCCCCACATTCACTAGGTGGACCCGTGACCACCTAGACAAAGGAGGAGTGGGGACATCTTATTCATATCTTTCCACAATACTGTGTAAGCTCCAGTCAAGAGAGCACAAACTTCAAAATAGCTCATGTTTAAGAAAAATATAAAAGCAACAGTCTTAATATCTCAAATTATATTTATAGGAGGTTTTCAAAGGAGTACATTATTCCCAGTGGTCCCCCTACTAGCCGGGCATTTGATGGGGCTGGAGACACCGCCCCTCCCCTCACCCCAGGACTCTGAAGTCCGGAGAGCCACAAGGGCACTGGCATTGAGGAGACGGGCCCAGACCTGCCTCCTGCCGCACCTGGCACAGCTTTCACACACAACAGGCCCTCGGAGGCCAGGGAAGTACAAACAAATTCAGAACAAGAACTCTGCCCCCGGGAGGTCAGAAGACCAGTTGTTCCACCCTCTTAACACGCACTAGACAGTTCCTTCTTTCCCTTCCCACAAGAAAGCTCGCCCGTCTGTGTGGGCTCTTCTCCACTGTCCCCTCCTCCCCATCACTTTGTCTGCTCACCGAGAGCCCAAGGGACCAAGGCTGGGGCAACGTAGGGGATGGAAAGAGGCAGGAAAGGGCACAGACCTGGGGGGACGGAATCGGATCTAAGAGGGAGCCTCAAAGAATGGCCTGGAGTTTCCTGCCATCTCGGGAGGAGTCCTGTGCCAGGAATGTCATGTTGGGAGTGTCAGGAGACACAGAACGTCAGAAGGGACGTCAAGGAGGAGACAAGGATGGGGTCAGTAAGTGCTACTTTGTTCTCTGTAGGAAGCCTCCCCACCCCACAGTTTGCTCCACAGCTCCACGGCAGCACAGACTGAGGCCCCGGGTGCTCTCAGTCCAACCCAGAGAGGCGAAGATCAAGTTACAGCAGGTCAAAGCCCTTGTTCAAGGCCCAGCAAGGATGGAGACAGGGCTGAGGCTGGACTCCAGGGGTCTTTTCTCCTGGCCCCAAGGATGCAGGGATGTGGCCACACGAGCGGTCTGGGCACGGGAGAAGCCACACCACCAGTTCCCTAAGTGGGGCCCAAACAAGGCCCAGCCAGGACTCTTGCCACATCCGGAGACTGGAGGGGCTGCTGGCTTCACCGCAGGCACTGAGCCTGTCCCCGCAGGGGCTGCTGCTGCACCAGCTCATCTGGAGCCCCTCTTCTCCACTCTCTGCCCTGGTGTCGGCCACGTCAGGTCTCTCAGCGACAGTCTCTCAGGGAGCCCCCATCCCAGGGTGGTCAAGGACTGTGAGCCCACAGGGCAGGCCCTGGCTGCCACAGGCTCGCCCATGGACCCCAGGACCAGCCAGGCAGCAGAGGCCCACAAACCTCTGTTGGCCGGCTCACCCGGCATCCGCTGGGTGTTGGTCACTACGTCAAGCACTGAGTAACGCGGTGACCACGCCAGCAAGGCCCTAGCCTCAGGGAGCGTGGGCTTCACTAGGGGAGGCCAGCAGCAACCAAGGGAGCAGGACGATGGTGACTCCAGCAGGAAGTGCTATGAGGACAGCACACAGGCCAACGAGAGGGACTGAAAGGGGACCCTGGATGGGTACAGTGGTCAGGGAGGCCTTTTCTGAAGAGGGGACAGTTGAGCTGAGGGCCACACAAAGATGTGAAGAGTGCAAAGGCTTCAAGTTAGCTGCCACTAGGCCAGCGTGGCCCTCCTACCCTTCTCCAGGCCCTCACTCACTCTGTTCTCTAAAGCACGGAGCACTCAGTTGGTGCTCAATAAGTGCTCACCTTCAATGGGGCTGTGCTGCCCTGGGCGGGCCCAGCCCTGTTGTCTGGTATATTAATGGGGGGGAGGGGGGGCGGGGAGAACGACGGACACCTCAAAGGGGGAGGCATAGTGTGCTCAAATCAGAGACCCCACCGCCCCTGGAGCCACGCCCTTCAGAGGTGGTGGACGAGGGTGGAGCCCACAAAGACAAAGCCACAGGGGTGAAAACACAGAGATGGGGTCAGGAGTCAAGAGCTACCAGCACCGGCAACAAACAGGTGCATACAGTGGGGCATGCCACAGCACGGACCACAGACACACGGCACCCGGCACGCTCTCAGGGACAACAGGCCCACAAGGAAACCTGGCATCAAGGAGCCACTGGAGGGCAGGGGATTGAGGAGGGCGGGGGGCGGGGAGGGCCCACAGAGCCCACCCCCAACCCTCAGAGCACAGGCATGCACATGGGCCACACTCACATGTGGACATGCACACCCATACGCAGTCATTACACACTCACCACTCACACTGACACATACATATGGCTCTCACTTATGGTAGCTACATGCACACAGTCACACTGGTACACATCCACATGCACATTTGTACACGCATGCACACCCACGCACATGCAAACAGCTTGCACATACATGCACATACACACCCTCAGTGCCATAAGCACTTATGAGGCAAGCACACGTGAGGCAAACACTCATGAACACACGTGTGGTCACATGCTGATGCACACGCATATATTCATCTACTCATGCTCACACACTCACCCACCACACACTCCCCCCCCCCCCGGCACATTCAAATTCACCCACTCTCACACCCACACACACATACGGGGCACACTCACGCCGCCCCACCCCCGCAAGCGCAAGCGCACGCGCACACATGCACATGCACTGGCGCTGGCCCAGAGACCCTCCCCAAGCCTGGGCTGGCAGCGCGCCTTGCAGGCCAAGGGGCGAGCTCCCGGGCAGAGGATGCGAGGAGGGCGCAGGCCACGGCTGGGCTGCAGCCCCGGAGGGAGGGTGGGTGCTGGGCGGGGTGAGGTGCTGGGTCCTGGCCCGCGCGCTCTGGGTGCCGCGAGCGCGCAGGTAGCGGAGCCCCGCGCCCCAGCCCCGCCGGTGATGACCCCGCGCCAGCAGCTGTCTCGGCGCGGCGACGGCGCCTCTAATTGATCTCATTATCTCCCCCTCGGAAGGTGAAGTGCGGCCGCCGGCGGGGCGGCCCGGCTGGCAGGCGGCGGGCCGGCGGGGGCAGCGCTCGGCCGCGCGGGCGCGCCGCCAACGAACGCAGGCGGCGGCTCTGCTTTGCGAACAGTGATGTCGCCGTCCGGCACCCCGGGCCTAGGCGGCGTCTTCGCCGTGAGTTCCTTTGTCACTCCCGCCGTCCTTGGTAATTATGATGAACGCTATTATGGCCAATTTCCCCTCACCTTCCTCCTTGCCGGAGCCGCGCCCGCGCGGCCGGATCTCCAGCGCGTCCCTCCTCCTGGAACCAACGACGATGCTCCTCATTTAACCCTCCGCCCGGGGCGGCCTGCGCCTGAATGGGCGCCCTTCCGGCTCGCGGGCGGCGGCGCCCCAGCCGGGCCCCGGGCCAGCCTCGGTCCTCCCGGCCGCCCTGCGGGGTCGCCGCGCCCGCGAGCCGGGGTGGCCCGGCCGCTGCCCCTTTGCTCCCTTCCCAAATCAAACTCTCCCTCCCCGGAAGAGAGAGCACAGAAACAGCCCGAGGACTTGCAGGAGGGGAAAAATAGGAAACAGTTTGTTGTGTTTTCCTTGGGTTTGTTTTCTTGCCAAAAAAATTACCCTCTTTGTCTTTGCGCAAAAGAGGCAATGCGGGCACCTTCTGCTGGGCACCGAGACGGTGCCAACGCGCCTTTCTTAAGGGCGGCTTCTGTTCCCTTTCTAGCCTCACCAGATAGATTTTTAACATAAAAAACAGTATATTTAATTGGTTATGGATCTCTGTTCTCTTAGCACTACTGGATATCACAGAAAAACACATTAGTACAGAGCAATTAGTGCGATGGCAGTAAACAACTAAGGCACTATTAAGCTGTGGGTGATTAAATAGTATTTTTATTTTTTATGGTGCTAGACTAAAAGATGGAGGAGATTTAAAATATATATTTCCATTAATATTAATATAAAATATAAATAACAGGTGTCTTCCACTTCTTAAGGCACAATTTATACCCAGCACTTCAATCTATAGAGAGCTACTCTTTTTTTTTTTATGAAAAAATCTCTTTCTTTATAAACTCTGGGACAGTATTTCTTATCTTCGTGTACCCGGATATTTAAGCAGAAATATTATTTAATTGGAGTTATGGAGTCAGGCGAAATAATGCCCATACCTATATCACCATAAAAAAAAAATAAAGCTCCCCTCCAATTGAAATATACTCCATGATTTCTATCTTTTCAGAGAGCGAATCAGGCATTCTGTGATCAATTGACTGCAGGCTGGGGCAAACAGGCAGGCAGTGGGTGGGCTGGGGCCCAGCGGCAGCACCTTGCTCCCGGCCCACCCCAGCCCAGCGCCCATGGCAGCTCCGGCCGCTCTCCCTCCGCGTGTAGATCATCCTCGCGGTGCTGGCACATCTTTTCCTCGGCATCTGATTAAGTTAACAATGTGCTGCTATTTGCATGCAGATTTGCGGGGCTTTCTCTCCAGCTGCTCCCGGAGCCTTGGTCTTTCTCTGCTAGCGATAGCACAGCAGTCCCTAAATGCAATCTTTGTCAGACCCAGGTGTGCTCTCATTGAGGACGCCTTCGTTCCAAGCAATTTTTCTTTCTGTAGCATTTATAAGGCTCTATTATAGTATAGCCACATCTGGAGGAAAATTCTCCTATTAATTATATACTTTTACCACTAGGAAGACAAATTCTAAAAGATACCAACATTTTTGTTGTTGTTGCTCTTATCTCTTTGACAGCCTGCATTTTATTTTATTTTGTTTTGTTTTTCCAGTCATTTCAATATTTAAAGAGCCATTAACCAAGGGAGGGGGGCTGAATTTCTAGGAAAAGAGGAACAAGAGACCTAAAATCTCAGTGTCGGCCCTGCCTGACCTCAGAGGCCAGCCAGACACCAGCTGAGGCCTTTCTGTAGGCCTTGGGGCTGGGCGTGGGGCTCAGGATGGGGGCCAGGCAGGTGGAAAAGAGTTCCGTTCTGCTGGAATTTAAAAAAACCAGCAAGTGCTATTAACCTTTAACCTCGTCTGCTCCCAGGTGGACGCTCGCTCACGTCACCAAACACCAGACAATCTGATTCCTCTCCAGTCCTCAAGCAGAACCAAACTGGATCGGCACCGTGATCCAGATGCTGTGTTTTCTTTGTGGGCTGGAGGGTAATTTTTCAATCAGCTTTGAGGCAGATTAAAAGAAAAATCTGGAGCTAAGTATTCATTGTCTTTTTCAGAAAGAGATGAGAAGCTTTGCCCGAAGAATCTGAAAGTTACGTTCGAGCCAGGTGGGAGTTTTTGTTTCGGTAGGGATGTTTTGTTTTTGCTTTTTTAAAATCTCTTTTGGTATATAGTCAGATCAGATGGTGGTGGGAGGGTGGATAGAATTAAGCTGAAATGTAGGAAAACTGGATGGTCCCTATCTGGATTTATAATACATTCAAAGTGCTAGCCAATGTAATTTCTGATTCAAAAATTATTTTGCAAAGGGATATACACTGCGTGAACAAGAGTATATGTATGAGTGTGTGTGTGTGTGTGTATATAAGTGTCCTGTGCTGGGGAGGCTGCACATACACACAAAGAAAGCTGAAATACTTTGGGAACAGGGAAAATCAAAATGGAACTGTTTTCACTTTTCAAGCCAAACTCTACCAGGTAAAAATCTAAGCAGGTTTTGGCCACTTAGTCCAGCTCCTATGACAACAAGGCTGACGCCATCTTCTCCTTGGTCTCTAAAGCTGGCATCAGAAAGAGCCCGGGGCCGTGTCCCGGCAGTACCAGGGGCGGCTCCCGGCTGGCCACACGTGAGCAACAAGAGGACACAAGAGGGGCCTTTCTGAGTCGGGCCTCTGAAGGCCGGAGTTACTGCTCCAGCCACGAGCTGCCTCTGCTCGCTGCGCCAGCCCCTTCCCTCAAGACGACCTGTGGTTTTCACTCTCTCCAGCCGCAGACGTCTGCGAGCAGACAGAAGTCAGAAAGGCCCCGCAATTAGGGTCCATCTTTGGACCATGCTTCAGCCTCAGTTTCTTCAGCTCTGAAATGGGAAGAGCAAACCTGACACCAGTGCGTTCGACACACGTGAGGACTGTGAATCACGTCCCAAATAGAGACGATAAAGAAGGGTCAAGTTTACTGAGATTCTTTTTCCTTACGAATGAGCTGCCCCTTCTCCTCCCCTCAAGGAAACAAGCAGCAGCTCCTGGGTCCATGACACTTAAGAGTCTGTGCATTTTTAAAAAATATTTTTAGACAAATAATGCAAAGGGAAAAGTGATTTTTCAATTTGACCCTTTGGGGGTCACTTGCCTTTTAAATCCTCCAGCTTGCTGGCTTCGCAGCCCCCCAGATACCCTCCTGCAGAAACAGAGCGGGGGCAGATGCAAAGATACTGGATTACATCACTGGAGAGCATGTGGCATTGAGGGGAGAGAAAAAAAAAAAAGACAAATGACATTTTGCTGCTATAGTGTGCTATTTTAGTGGTGGTGGCTTGACTTTTGGCCCAAACGCATATGCCAATGGCAAGGCTAACTCCAGGGACTCACAAAAAAGAATGTGTGTTCACAGCTGTACTGTACACCAATACAGATTACATGTTTTCAGTGTTGCGGCCACAACAGAATGCTAATTAACATACTGGAGTGATGAGGCCGGCTGCAGGGGCCTTATTGTTCCATTATTTCATGAAGCCCAGCTGCCTTTGTTTATGTCACTTATCCTCTCGTGCCACAGGTTTTTACTCCAAAAATACTATCCCAATACAACGTTAATATTTAAAAAACAAAGAGGTGGCAGATTGTCATTTTTGTGTCAGTCTCAAACTGCAGAACTGTTAAGCTGTTCTGGTTCGGTATTTAGAAATAATTTAACAGCCATATTCAGACACTGCCTGCATTCTAACATAATGGCTGAATGCTTGAACCAAGCAAATGCGTAACCACCCTGACATCACTTATGAGATTTAGATTGGTCAGTTAATGGAAGTCTTTACCAGAATCAATACCATAACAGCTTCTTGAAATGAACGTGATTTTTTACACGGAGTGCTGCAAACAATAACTACAGAAATATACTACCTTTGTACCCGGCACAAAGAAGCGAAGATGCAAAATTAAGAAGCAATTACATTTTTGCAAACTAATATTCCAGTTGATTATTAAAAACAAACACTTTCAAAAATACGTACTTATCATTAAATAATTGGAGAACATTAATACCCCCCCACTCCTGATTAATCATTTTTTTACACTTTTTAATAGCTGTTTCACCTACTGGCTACATTATCAGGTTGCTATTAAGTATTGATATTGATGACTGATGTAACAATGATTAACTAAAAAGCGGTATTTAGAGCTTGTTTTTTGGTAAACATTTTTTTCATAATCCTCATTTGAGGGAACACTGTCTGCTGGCTAAATTAGTTTTTTTTTTCTTTTGCCTGGATTGTGCATAAAAGTGACAGTCTATAAAATACAGGTTTCCTCAAATAGTGTTCCACCAGCAATCTATACATACTGCAGTGACTTCACAGTCAGGCAAAGCTGTTGGCTCAAGCCCAAAATGTTTATGGTGCATTGCTTTCCCCACAGAACAAAAACACCCTGGAGTTTTATTTCAGATTTCCCTAAATGCGCCTTTATTGACACCAGGTACGATAGTTGGAGCAATACGTAATACCCTAGCACAGACGCCATTCCACCAGAGTCATAAATTAAGTTAGAAAAGGTTTCCCCTAAAAAGTGTGGCACTCCACTAATCAAAGCCACACTGTCGCCCAGGAACACCAAATCCGCCCCACCGCCAACGGAGTGAACAAGCCCTAGTTGCTTTTTAACGAGTTTAACTGGTAATCTCAGATAAATGGAGAACCACTTGAAGTGTCCGTCTTCTACAAGGCAGTAATGAAGGGATTTAGAGCGTTCTGCAGCCCAAACTGCATATAACCGAGAGAATGCCACAGGTGTGCCACCACCGCGACCGAGGGCTTTCTCAGCGATGGCCATCCCCCCGCTGTGGACACAACGTAGATTTTTTTTTAATTGGATCCAGGAGCTAGCTAAATGATCCAACTGCTCTGTGCTCAAGCCCCCAGCTAGCTTATATACCAATAATAATAAACTTTCCATAATAGCAGCTCAGCCTATTACTGTTTTTTTCTCTTAACCTAAAAGTGGAACCACTTTATTCTGATTGCAGTCACCAAAGAAACTCCTGAATTGGTTTCCTCCTAAACGACTGCTCAAGAATTACAGATGGGGGCCAGGTAAATAATATTCAATTACACGTGCACACATTTTCATAGGGGAACCTAAGATAATATGGTACCGGGAGAAAACACTATCATAATTCATCCCTTTGTCATTTGTGGGAGACTTTTTCCTCTTCCTTCATAATATCTATTTATCAGGACGAAGCACCAGCCAGTCATAACGGCACCCTGGGACCATGATACAGCCTCTGGGGCTGCCCCATCCCAGATGAGTCAGACCCAGTCGGATACAGCTTCAGTTTGATCCTGTACAATTAATGCATTCATGTTCAGTTTGCAAAAATAAAATACCAGCCCTGTGCTTCCATTCCGAACATCAGAAAAGTGTTAAATTTATAAATAAGAGATCAAAATCCTTTAGCGGGCAGAAACAATATCTTCAAACTAAATGCGTGGTTCCACCATTTAGACATATTTTTAACAATCTTAATCCCACTTAAACTTTGCGAAAACTCTATTGAAAATTTAACCTTGTGCTCTTGAAGCTGAAACTGATAAAACTTAATAGCAACAAGGCAGTGAAACACTAATAAACTCATTATAGATCACATAAATGGGAGCCTGCGTGGCTGCCAGACAGCACACGTAAGCAGCTTCGGGTGCAAATAGCAAAGGCAGGCAAGGTGGCGCGGATGTCTGTGTGGACAGTTGGAGGGAGAGGATTCAGTAACGCTTCACAATAAGTTTGCTAAATTTACTTGATTAGGCAGTTCATTTAGAAATTTCAGATGCTAATTATAGGTGGATGCAGACAAGCTGGTATGGAAGCATGAGTTTCCTGAGGCCTCAGAGCCACATCAGGGCCCGCTCTTGCAGAATGGATTCCGAGCGCTCAAAGCCCTTTCCATGTGACCCCCCTGCCCCCAAGGCTGAGGGGCTGAGGAAGCACCTGCAACCAGGCCCCCTCCCTGGGACCCCGCGGGCCTCCCCCAGCAGGATCCACAGAATCACCCCCAGAGTCGGGGAGCACCGGAGGCTGCACCCTAAGGTCTACTTGCCGAATTCTGACACGTGTTCAGTTGGGCTCACGTGGCAATTTAAGAACATGTAAGAGTTGTCAACTTGCAAAAACTGGCTGAGCTCCATATGGAAATCCAGATTGCTGACTTCCCTTTAAAAATCCAAAGGTCTAGCAGCACCAGACCCACAGTCCCATGGGCAACCACCAGGCCATGTGTTCTCCAGGTGGTCACATCCTCATTCATGGATGGAGATGCTCTTGTCCCTGCAGCATTAGAGTTTTGCAGCCCTGGTCTGTACCATTCAGAGGCTGCTGGTCAGAGGAAAGGGAAGACATGGTCAAGAGAAGCTACACCAAAGGAAAGTTGGAGGGTGGACAGGAAGACTAAGACTTCATGTTCCAGGCCCCACCCCACCAAGCTCAACCAACACGTAGCTGCTGAAGCCAGTTCTGCCCATGCAAGTCCCTCTTTGCAGAGGGTCAGGAAGTCCATCTTCCCTCCCTGCCACCACGAGAAGAATCTGTAAACCCTGGAGGCACGGCAGTAGGAGAGGGAAATGGAGGCTCTGCCTTTGAGTTGCTCCAAGCCTAGGTCAGGAGACCAGACATGAAGATCAGACAACCGGAAACCAGGCAAATGGTCAAAGATGGAAGGTCGAACCCTGTAGGAAGACTTGAACAGCCATTAGGAGTCACCACTCTTAGCCTGGGGAGAGCCGACCACAACGCTGGGACAAGAGGGACCAGCAGGAAGGACTGAGACCAGGAAAGGAGGAAAAGGGGGAAGGAGAGATGGAGGTGGTAGGCGAGCCCAGTAAAATGGGAGACTCCACACGTGCTTGTCACTCGCCGTGATCGGTGGTGCCAGGAGCCAGGGTCAGAGCCACGGTCCAGAGTTTGCTCACCCCTTGTCTGTTCTAGACTCTTGATACTCACTGCACAGCAGGACCAGCGTCATTGGCACTTCCTGGGCTCTGGTTAAAAACAAGCAGTGTGGACTCCACCCCAGAACTCCCAAATCAAATACATATTCTAAGCGCTCATCTATCCACCTGGTAGGAAGAGCTGAAGGGGCCACCGCAGGCTCCCCTGCCGTGCCCTGGGCCGTGCCATGTGAGGGGCATGCAAGTCTCACGACTCGAAGGTGCCTTTCTAGTGGGGACATGCTGCCAGTCCATCCACCTGGATGATGTTCATTTAGACTATCAATAAATATGGCTTCAGTAGTCAGATGATATTTAATTAGCATTAAACTCTTTTATTTCATGTAAGTTAGAGCCTTGCCTGAAACACTTCATTTGGAAAGTAACCTGGCACTCAAGATTAAAATGACATATTAGCATGTCAGCGGTAGCCTCATCATGGTGTGCTCCCCTTCGGCTGCCAACCCTGCAGGGGAGCGACACGATGTTGCTTCCCAATTCCCCAGCAGAAGGGATGTGACACAGGGGCTCTCAGAGGTGAGGGGCTGGGTGTTCTTACATGGCAAAGGGGCTGTAGCCCCCAGGAAGTGTGAAATGGAAACACTTATCCTTGTCAAAGTTGGAAGCAACTTTTCATCCTTCTATCTGAATTTTCTTTCTGTGCCTCAAAGCCATCAAGTCCACCCCTGCCTCCGGGCCTTTCCATGAGCCGTGTCTCTGTCCAAGTCCTGCTGCATCCTCACAGGGCTCTGACTTGCTCTTCAGAACTCTGACTCAATGTCACCTCCCCAGAGGGGACTTCTCTGATCTCTCAGTCTCAGCTATGGCTGGCCTCTTGGCTTCATATCCCTCCATTTTAATACTCTGTATAACATGTGTCCCTACAGATAACTTTCTGGTTTCTTCATCTATTTGTCTGTCTATTGCCTCTCTCCTCCAACTAGAATGCCCTGCATGAGGGCAGGGACCTTGACTGTTTTGTTCTCTGCTATATTCCTAGGGCCTAAAACAGTGCCTGGCTCATCACATAGGATTAAAGAAAGAAGGGAAGGAGGGAGGGAAAATAGATGATAGGTAGGTAGGTAGATACATAGATTGTAGATACATAGACACAGATGATAGATAGATGATAGGCAGAAGGATAAATAGATAAGAGATGGTTGGATGGATAGGTATATGATGGATGAATGGACAGATAATAGAAGATGACAGATTATGGATAGAAGATAGATGGATAGATGGATGGATAGATGGATAGATTATAGAAGACAGACAGAGGATAGGAGATGATAGATAGATTATAGATAGACAGAAGATGGATGGAAGGATGGATAAGAGAAGATAGATGATAGACGATGATAGATTATAGATATAAGATGGATGGATGGATGGATGGATGGATAGATGATAGAAGATAGATGACAGAAGATGATAGATAGATTATAGATATATAGAAGATGGATGGATGGATGGATAGATAGATACATAGATGATAGAGAGACTGCCAGACAGCTAGCTCAATTGATCAGTCACTTTGGCTGACACAAAAGAGCAGGGTGTCCACTCACAGGAGGCTTGCAATCTAGAAGGGAAGTGACAGAGTCAGAAAGCATGGCCCAGCACCACTCACAGCCCTGTCAGGTGTGCCCGGAGCAGTGTGCGATTACGTGACAGTTAGGAATTCTGAGGGCAGGGCCATGAGATCAGAGGAGAACTTGCTGGGGGCTGGAGGAGTTGACAAGGGGCTTCCTCAGGGGTCAGGGAGGCAGTGGCTTCGTGGAGTAATCTAAGCTAGATCCTAAAACCCTGGCTGGATGCAAACATTCCAAACAGGGCCACCCAGGAATGCCCAAAGGCTTGCACGCAGACCACTAGGACACACAAGATGATTTTAGGTGACACATAGAAAAACTCCTTTTTAAAAAAAATTCATACTTATGTAATTATTCTAACATTTAATATGAAAAAACATATAACTGGCACATCAAACTAGAGATTTCACAGATATTATTTAGGACAAAGCTAAATATAATATTTAATCAAAAGAAGTGTGTCCTCTTAAAAAAATATTGTTTACAATGTAGCAGGTGGTACTCGGTATGGTAAAAATCAAAAGGGAGGTGTGTGAATGATGAAAAGTGTTGGCTTGGAGCTAAGGAGTCATTCCCAGCATAAACTGAAGCCCCCATCCCCCAGCCCGGGCCCGGAAGTTCTCATCCACAGGAGGCCTTGCTTTGCTGGATCTGGTCCCCAGCTGGGCTGTCAGAGGCAGATGCAGGCCTAACAGCCCCTCCCTGGATTTGTGGAAGTGGCAAGGATGTATCCAAGCGCTCCACACCCTCCCTGGGGACGCAGCCCCCACTCTGCCTGTGCCACACGGGCAGCAGGAAGTGCTCCAAGAAAGAGTGGCACGGGCTCCTCCAGGGGCAGCCCCACGAGCTCCAACAAGTCCTCCCCTTCTGAAGGCAAGAAGGAGAAAGAGAAAGAGGAAGAGGAAGAAAGACAGCACAGAGAGAAGGAATGGGGAGGAGGAGGGAAAGGATAAAAAAGACAAACAGGGGAGAGAAGGAATGAGGGAGAGAGAGAGTGGGAAAGGCTATCTAGGACCAAATGCTGGCTGAAGTCCTTATCAGGAAGAAAAATTTTAAAATGCACGAACTCTATTTATACCCTGAATAAACAAGATAATTACGTGTTCATTTCATAAGTTGTGCCTTGATTTCGAGATCACCAGCGGCCACGAATGTTTGGATTTCACATAAGCATGTTTAAAAGCCATGGGTCTTGACCCTCTGACCAGGAAGCTAAGCTTAGTCAACACTTTCACACTGTGATCAAGGCATAAAGCAGAGAGTTGAACAAACTAACATTTTACGCTTGGAATTGAAGTATAAGCAGAAGAACTGATGAATCTGCTAATTGTTCCATTGTTCTTGCCTGCTCTTGACATTGGCATATACCCCTTGTATAACCCAAAGTGCATCTTTTGTATATGTATGAAAAGAAAAATGTGTGCAACCCGATGAACATAAGGGGGGGCGTTAAAGGGCAATCCCTTTTTTATTATTTTTTTAAAGGCCAACTTGCTGTGTACAATCCATGGCCCTGGCCTGACAGTGTGGGGAAGCTGCCTGCAACTGTGCACTGTGGGCAAGCCGGACACAGTCTGGACGCCCCAACCTAGCCCTGTCCCTGCTTTGCCTCTTTCTTTCTGAGGTCACTGTAAGCCTCAGCCTCCAGCAGGGCAGCAGCCAGGTTTGCAGCAGGCTGATGGGTGTATTCTTCCCCCCACTCCCACCGCCACCGGCGCAGCTCAGCATCAGACAGCGCCGCTGGGCTTCAGCTGCCCATTGCCTGGATGCATCCCAACTGAGCCCAAACAGCCTAACCTGGCATGCAGCTTCTCACCCATCGGGCTCCCACCTGCACCTCCACTCACTCTTACTTATATCCTAAATTCCAGCAAGACCTAGCAACTTGTCATTCCCCAAGACCAATGCCGTCCCTGGTTTGTCCAGTCTCCCCCTCTACTGCCCCCACCTGGAATGGCCACCTCAGCATGGCCCCAAACTTGCCCCCACTCCCACCCCCACCCCCAGCTGTAAATGCATCCAGGAAATTCCCACCTTCTTCAAGCAACTTCTCTCTTGCCTTCTCCTTATCTCTATTTACGAAAATCTTCCTGGTCCCCAAGCTCCAGCTCCAGCACCAGCTTCTCCACACAGCTCTTCCTGAGCCGCAGAGTGAGCCTGACTTTTCCTCTCTCAGCCGAGTATGCTCACAATACTTAGCTCCTCTGTCGTTAGCCACAATGCTCCTGTTAACTGATGCCTCCCTCTCAAGTTTGAATGCATGGCTCCCTGTCTGATCTCGGAGGTGCCCTGGCCGCGTCCCTGTGTGTTGTGGCCTTCTGTGTGTTTGTCCCCTCGCTGTTAGGATGGTGGCAGAGAGAGTCCTAGGGCTCCACAGGTTTCTGTTGACTCACACGGACCTGAAGCAGCACACGCCTTACTTCTCTGCAGCACAGCCTTGCAGGCCTGGGCTCCTGCATCCTCAGGGACGGGCCTCGGGGCCGCGCTGATGTGTAACCCCGGCCATCGCTGCCTCCGGGGAAAGCGCGCCCTTCAGGGCCTTCCAGGCCCAATCCTAACTGAACCAGCCTGCTGCCCATGCTCGCTCCACAGAAAATCTGGATTATGGAGGACAGGATGGGACATACTCTGTCTCCTCCACCCGTCAGCCTAGAATTCCACGGGGTTGCCCCAACTCTCCTGGCAATAGGGGGACCCTGGCAGAACAAAATCCAAATCAAAGTCTTTAGTTGATTTCAACCCCAAATTTCTCTGTGACTGTAAAACAAGAATCAATAATACCAAATAGTCCATTTTGAGGGGATTAAAAGCACAGTTTGGCCTTGTTGGAGGTTAACCCTCAAATACAGACCCTTCTTTAGAAGCCTCTTTCCACTGCCCTCCTAGAAGCAAAAGGAAGGTGGCCCGTGGGCTGTCTCTCTGTTCTTCTTCATGACACTGGATCCTTTTAGCCCAAAACACTGAGCTGGGGCACGTGTGAGGATCATCCCAGACTGTAAGAATCCACATCACTGCCAGGCGGCTCCTGGCAGTCTATGTCACACACACGTACACGCACGTGCACACACGCACACACACACGTCAGGGAAGGCCTGGTCTCCCATGGAAGGTTGCAACTATTGAGAGATATGGAAGTAAAAACCAGATACTTCTCTCCCCCTCTTTCCTTTCCCGCCTGGCCCATTACCTGACACATAAAGACCATCTGGGTCAGTGAAAGACAAAAGCCATTTTGTCCTTACCTAACAGATACTGCACCGTTGTATACACAGATCTTTATTTCCTACATAAAGTTAAAGGTTTGTGGCCACTTTGCTTTTTGCACATAATCCTCCTTTTTTATTTTAATTAGCATGCCTCAAACAAAGACAACAATTTCAGAACATACAAGCAGCGCTGCAAAATCATCAAAACAGAGAGCTGTTCTCGCCTTTTCCACCCCTTTCAGAAGCAGGAGAGGGAAACAGGGATGGGAAGCCTGGGACCAGCAAAAGGAACAGTGCCTCCTCTTAGATGGCAGCTATTTCCTCCTTTTACCCACAGTGCTCAGAGGGAGAGGGAGAACCCAGGTTCTAGAAAGGGTTGGCTTGGCAAAGAAAAATCTCCAGTGAAAGAGTCATCGTGGGAGTAGCTGGGAGAAGACGGACGTGACTGGCCCACCCAGGACCCCGGTCCACAGGCCTGGACCCAGGGGCAGCAGGACCGCAGAGATGCAGCTGGAACATCTGCCTGTGGGCGGCCCTTGGCTTCCTCAGTGGCCAAGCCCCATGCTCCCTGCAGAGCGGCTCCCAGAGAACAGCCTGTGCTCATGGCCCCCAGCACACTGCCTTTACAAGAGCACGCTGGTTCTCACCTCCCTCTGCTCACCAGGAACCCGCCCGCCTCGCTCCCAGGACTGGCACACCTCTGCTCCAGGCACAGCTGTGGCTGCCAGAGTCAAAGGGACACTCACCAGAGCCTCTGGAGGAACAAGGCCCCCAGCGCGGCAGCTCACACGTGGGACGCGCTTTGGGCACAGGGAGACCAGGCCATGGGCCCCCGCACAGCTGAATTTTTTTTAACTGAGATTCATCTCAGATCCTTCTGACTGCCCTTCTTCAGCTGCCCATGCCTCACTGTGTGGGACAGACGGACATTCACAGAAGGCCAGCAGCGCAAGTGGGGTGTCACGGGTTAACGTGTCTCTTTTTTTGTTTTGTCGTGTCTATTTGCAAAGCTGACCTAATGCACAGCCTCACAGCTCTCAACCTCTGAAGGGCCAAGAGGGACACAGGAGCCTTTGTCTAGTGACAAACAAAGGCAAAGTCATGGCGGAGTAGACCCTAGAGTGTTGCGGGCCCCCGCCCCACCCGCAAGGATGCTGCCCTGCAAGGCTGCTCGCTGGGGCAAACTCAGAGGGAAGTGTATGTCCAGCCTCAACCCGCTGCTGGCCTGGTCCCCACCCTGGAAGGCCCCATGCAAAGTGGCTCATCCCAGACCCAGGGAGGGCCGGCACTCCTCTGCCCCACCACCTCACACAAAGAAAGCATGTCCAAAAAGAAAGACCAAGTTCACCTTCTTTCATGGTTTTTTTAAAGCAGTTTTCCCCCCCAAAGCCCCAGTAGGAAGTTGTTTAACTTAGTTGTAAGTCCTTCTAGTTCTTCTATGTGAGACACCGCCACAGCACGGCTTGATGCGCAGGGTGTAGGTCTGCACCCAGGATCTGAACCCACACCCACCAGCTGCTGAAGCCGAAAGCTCAAACTTAACAGCTGTGCCGGGCCGGCCCCCAACTTCACATTTTGACACCTTAACTGAAGTGGGTCATTTAGACTCCCACTGGGCCCCTTGTCTGCCTCCCTCACTCCGGAGTAAAAACCCCAAAAGATCTTTCAACTGTAACCCGGTCGCAAAGCAGAAGGCGCACGATTAGCTCTGTAAACCAATCAAGCACCATTAAGGAGAAAGAATATGACATGAAGCTTTTGTTTCTCGAAATGAAAGAAAGAGAAGAAGAAAAAAGGAAGAAGACAAGAAAAGAAAAGCCAGCAGCAGCAGCAGAATTACAGAAGGAGGAGTCCCCACCCAGACACCCGGGGAGAGCTGCTCAGGCTGGTGCCGGATGGCGAGAAGGGTTAAATTTATGTTCCATTACAAGTCCCCTTTTTTTTGGTTTCATCTTCTCAGTAAAACACATAACTTAAAATGAAATCAAATATTAAAAATGACAGACTATATAAGTGCTGTGAGTAACTTCAGGTCACGGAGGGAGGGAAAAGCCGGCAAGTTGTCAGGCACTATCTGTCAGAGTGAATTAGAAACAATCAACAGAGACTGAAAGGGAAGGTGATTGTTATTAAGCAGCGGGGCTGTGAGCAGGCTGCCCAGATGTGGTCATGCATATAAAGGACAGGAAACAGCAGTTTAATTCAGGAAGCCCCGGCGAACAGGGCAGCAGAGAGGAGAAAAGTCCTTTGTCGCTAATAAGCTGGAAGTTACTTTGATAACAGCAGGGTTAGACTCGAGAATAAAACACATTTCTTTCACTACCACACACCATTAATATCACAGAAATGTGGTCGGAAGAAATGCCCAGCGCGAGCCGGATCAGCCGCTGGCCTTCCCCAGCAGCCTGGAGAGCCGACCCCGGTCCCCATCCGGGCCCGAGCCTCCGCTCCTGCCAGGGCAGGGCCTTTTCTGACCACGTCGGACCAACTGTCACCCTCCAGAAATGTCATATGACCAAAACACTATAAGGAGAGTATTTCCTTATTGCCCAGCATCAGGCCCTCCCGTTCCTGGGGCCTGTGGGGAAGGTGCGAGCCGGGTAAATATCCTCGGTGTAATGAAGGCCACATATGCAGCCACGAAGAACAATTTTATATGCAGACAAGGCCCGATTTCATAAGAAATTACTTATGCAGGCGTTCTGCAATTATCCTGTGATACTTGCAGGCAACAGTCTGACAGCAGTTGTGCAAACAATAAAGGGATTACAGAAATAAAAACAAATAATATTACACACGCAGAAACTCCATGTTGCATGTGGACGGGATGGAGAGAGATGAGTGGAGACGGGCAGGGCCAAGAGGAAGCGAGGCCAGGGCAGAGCCGACCCCTGCCCGGGCACTTGGACTGTGCCAGCGCTCGCTCCAAGCCCCCGACAGGACCCTGCCCGCAGGCGGCTGTATGGCAGTCTGCCCCCATCTCAGGGGAGGCTGGGCCACCTGCTTGCCTCTCTGGGGAGCTGAGGGCATGGGTCACCTTTGCAGGAAGGAGCAGGGTCACAGGACCAGGAAGGGACAGGCAATGGGTGGGCTGAGAGCTTTGCCATTTTCTCTCGTACACCAGGTGGCCTTCCCAGAACAGGAAGCATGTTGTCCTTCCGCCTCATCCCGGGGTCAGCACAGGCCACCCATGTCCAGTTGCAGCCCAGAGCTTCCAGGCAGCGGGTGCAGAGTCAGGACTGCCCCTCCCATAACACAGGTGAGCAGAGTAAGTGGGGCAGCCATGATGAGGACCCAATCAAGACTCAGTGGAGGCCGGGGCACTCGCCGAGCAGCCCCGTGACTGGCATGAGGACAGGGCTCCCATCGCTCACTCCTGGGGGAAGGACTCGAACCTCATCCATGACCGTGTCCCCATATTAGACACAGGCAGGCGCCGGTGAACTCAGGTGTTGGGGAGACAGAGAGTGAGGTGGGATGCAGGCCCTGCACAGGGGCCTGCTGACCCCATCCCCAGAAGATGGGTGCTTCCCACTGCCGCCTCCCCTCCAGGCACTGTCCAGGAGCTGTCACCCACCTCCCACAGTAAGAGTGCAGGGACCTGCAAACGCTCGCCCCTCTGCACTTCACATACTTCCAGACCCCAGGCTGTTCTGCAGGCAGCTCAGAGTCAGCACTGGCCTGTGCTTACTGCATGCCACTGTGTGCGACCCTTGCTCAGTGCTGAGGGCAGGAGTCACAAAGTGCAGGCTGCAGCTCCATCTAGACCACAGATATACTAGTGTTTGCAGAAAGTTTTTTTAAAACTTAAATGAGTTGCCAACATTGGAGGGAAAAAAAGAACCAGATTTTTTTTTAACTTCTTTTTCCTTAAAAACTATGAAGATCTAGAAATATTCTGTCCGCATCTCCAAATGGCTGCAACTGACGAGAGCTGAGTGGCCCCTCTCAATGGGATCAGCTCTACCCAGCCTGCTCTGGCCTGCTCTGTCCTTCACACATGCCAAGTTCTTCCCTACCACAGGGCCTTTGAACCTGCTGTTCCCTCTGCCAGGAATGCTCTTCCTCCAGACCTTTACCTGGCTGGCTACTCCATGTCCTTCAGACCTCTCACTTCCAAGGTGCTTTCCACAGGGGGGTGAGGTCCATCACGGACCACCTACACCCTCTCAAGTACAGCCACGCCCCCTTTCGCTTCCCCAGCCCAGACAGTTTCTCATTTATCACTCTCTAACATCATCTTATCCGTGGCTGTCTTGTTTACTGCTTCCTAGCCTCACAGTAGAAGCTCCCCGAGGACAGGGAGCTTGTCTATCTTATCCAAGGCTGTACCCAGGGTTGCACCATGGCCAAGGGCTCGGGCTCCAAAACCAGAAAGAAACAGGCTCCGACCATGGCCTTACCATCCACCGGCTGTGTGATGTGAGGGAGTCCACTGCACTTCTCTGACCTCAGGTTCCATGTCTGGAAAATGGAGCTAATAACAGTATGTCCCTTCTAGGGAAGCGGTGAGGATGGAGCTATCCCAAAGCACGCTTCGACCAGAGCCTGCTCCACTCTGCTCCTCAGAGTCCAACTGTCCCGGTGTGGTTTCCTCTCAGGCAAAGTGAGAGCGACGGGACCTCTCTCTCCTAACTCCACTCAGCAAAGGAGGCTGCAAGGATCCTCACCTCCGCGAGCCTGGAGATTTCCTGGTGAAGGTCACATAAGGCAGACAGCCCCACACATATATGCAGGGCTTGTCATCATCACCACACAGACATCACAACTGTCCCGCCATCTCCTGTGCTGCCAGAGCGCCACCACCGCAGCCTGCAGCCGAGGTGATCACCGCTGCAGGGAGGCTGTGGACTCACGTCTGCACCAGGATAGCCGGGCCGCCTCAGGACAGCGGGAGCCACAGCGAGACCAGCACCCTGAGTCCGGGGCCCAAACATGCCCCGGGCACCGGGGACCACTGTCTGTCAGAGGGGACGAAGGGCCTGTGGTCTCTGAGGGCCACTTCCTTCCGGAAGGCACTGAGCCTCATGACCAACCGTGGGGACCTTCCGAGGGATAAAGCTAAAGAGAGCCAGACAGCCACACCTCGTGGCCCTGCCTCTGGTCCCTGCGAGGGTTTCTCTGGAAATGTAGATTGTGGCGGGATAGTGAACGATTCTCTGATGTGTGTGAGGGGTTCAGTCACCGACAGCTCACCTGGGATCCTAGAAATACAGAATTTCTATGGAAAGGCGCTTCAGGGTGGCGTCTATGTCCCCAAGATGCATTCTATAACATCACATAAGACTTTAAAAAGTTAAGTGTCCCCTTCAAAGGATTGGGAGGGCCCCGGTGGAAAGGAGAGCGAGCAGGAAGACCCCAACGGGTCTCTTCGGAAGGCCAGCAGTGGTTCAACCAGCTCATCATATTCCAGCCCGCACGGGAAGGGTCCCTCCAGGGCCTGAGAGCCCTGTGCTCTGGGGCTGCAGTCAGCGAGCAGCCTGGAAGGAGGTGCCCGCGTGCTCTCCGCCTGTTTCTGAGACCTGTCCCCTTTCTTGGTCTACAAGGCACAGAATTTGCTCGTGGATAGAAAGTTCCAACCCTACTTCCAGTTCACAGGATCCCAAAATTATTCCAAGATGTACATTTTCCATGCAGGAAAAGCTCCCCGCCTTCTCATGGCCAATCCCAAGAACAGTGCGTCACTGTTCTCTATCTTCTCTGAGGCCCAGGACACGCTGAGGTGATTAACTCTGTGCAATGCCCGCCTCAGCGGCAGAAAACCTGGCGAGGCCAGCGTCGTGGCCTACTCCACAGTCTAAGAAAGGACGGCCATGCCACATTCGGACGAAGGTCAAGCACTTCCAGCTTCTCCCCTGGGTCTCCCACCGGGTCAAGCATGGTGGTTCATCCTCCCCACCCCTTCCCTTCCCATCCCAACGTGGATCAAGGGGAAATGGCCAGGACCCTTGCAGGACCTCCTTCCCCACCTCAAGAGGTACAGAGCATAGAAAGCTCCAGAACAAGCTGGTGTGCTCGCTTTCCTGGGGAAAGTCAGCCTCACCCATCTTCCCGACCGGAGGCCTTCAGCAGTGATGCTAAGCTGGGCCTTCGGAAACTGTGAGCATCCACGCGGCAGAATTCCTACCATCAATGTAGCAGCTAAATATTGTAAGACTCCTAACTCCCCCATCTGTGTTTTGCCTCCCAAGAGGGAAAATAGTCTTCGCAGACATTCCCTTATCTGGCAGGCGAATTCTAAACCTTACTGGCAACTGCAGGCTTGTTTTCCCAACCAAACAGCTATGGAACCAAAAATTGTTCTGCCTGCGATATGCTGAGGAGGGAACTAGCCAAACAGCTCAGTCTGGAGGCGCAGGGCTGGGAAGCCGAGGGCTGTCTCCACCACCAGGGGAGACCCCATGCTCCACGGAAGACCTGGTGCCAGGGGAGGCCGCCCGTCAACTGACGGAAGCTACAACTGCTGTGTTCGCTGCTCCTTTTCCTTAGCACAGCATACACCCACCAAGAAGCTGACGGAAAACACTCACCACGGTGTGAAATCAACACTTTCTAACTCAAATAAAGGGGATAAAAAAGGGAAAACTTCCAACCCTTTTGCAGCAGAAATTTCCTCCTTCAAGATTACACGAGGCAGTGGTACCTCGGGCCCTGCCGCCAAGCATCCCTTGGCGCCCAGACCCTCGCTTCCCATTTTATGGTATTTCCCTGCATTTTTCCTAGCCCTTCCCAGTCTTAATACAGGAAACCTGCACCTGTGCAACTGCTAATAAACCAAATCTGATGATAACTGTGGAAGCCTAATTGATAGGGGCCTTTATCGACTGGCCTTGATGTCTATCTGAGGTTCTCAACAGCCAAGATTTAAATGTTTCATTTTATTTTTAACTTTCACTTTTCCACATTTCAGCAATGTCAGGCAAAGAGGTATGGTTTTACTATCAGAAAGACTCATGGTGCAGAATAATTTATGACTTCAGCTTGGGCTTTCAGAAAAGCTATTTCAAATCTTCACTTTGATTTGGCTGTATCAAAACTACTCCAAATAACAGCGGCACTTTCTTGGAACCAGAATATGTTAGCAGCACCTCAGGATTTCGAACGAAAGCCTCGTATTTATCCCAGAAGGAAACTTGAGAAAGGAATTAAGCCACAGAGGGGAAAACGACATTATTTCACGATTCCTTTGTTCCCCCTCTGACCCATCCCCAAACACCCCCACAAAGGGATGCCTGCCCCCCGTGAAGTCCTGCAGCCACCACTCACCCAGGGGTAGGGGCAGGTGGAGGAAGCCCACCTGGGTGCAGGACGGGCTGGGAGGAGGTCCTGGAAGGGAGGAGAGAGAGCGGGGCTGTCTGTGGGGATTTGCGTTAGGTCAACACGACAAAGCAGGAGGAAATGACGTGTGTCCAGGGCAAAGAGTTCTAGCAGCGTAAGACTTACCTTAGCAGCTTAACTGCATACTTGTCCTAAGGACTGTCAGTCTGGTGAGAAAATACCCCAGAAAGGATGCAGCTGATCCAGGCACTGACAGATTGCCAGAGGGGCGTCCCGGTTCCCTATCACAAAAGGAAATATAGAAAGGAATGATGTAAAGTGAAATGTAACAAATTCACCAAATCACAGCAATACGCAGAGGTCAAGGAAATTCCACTGAAAAGGTTAAAGATGAAATCAAATCCGGTGTATGAGAATGAAAATCTATCCCAACGCAAGGCCACCGGTGACGTGCTGTAGACAAGAAGCTAAATGCTGCCTAGCACTGGGATCTTTCATTTTCATCAGATCAATAAAAGCTTATATTTATCAGGATTCCAAGCAGCTGCCACTTCTGACAACCTCCACTTTATTTTCTCACTCCTTGCGCTGTATCAGGGCAAAGAGGAGAGGAGAAGCAGCTTTTAATGCTATTTACACCTGAAGACACAATTCCATTAAGAGGCCCTGTTTTGTTAAAGAAACAGGGATTGATATGATTATATTGGCAGGAGTGGAGTCTCTTTGTTCTGCCCCCACGTCGTCCTCCTTTGCAGTCCAGACCCAGCATGAAGCTCTCCTGACACAAAGTCCACGTGCGAGCACTTTTTTGTTCAAACTTACCATTTACGAAGAGAGGAAAGACTCTCCGCGAAAACAGTTACCACTCTAATCATCTGTACAACAATATTTGCTATCAGGCATTCTAAATAGATTATCACCAGTCCATCTGTGTCATTATTGATTTATAAGGCTTTAAGCAGCTTTAGAATGGAAGCTTTCCCACTGAAGGGTTTCTTGTATAAATCAGAGCCCTGCTCAAATATAGCAGCCATCACTCAAGATATTGTTCTTAAAATCATAACAAGAAGGAGAAAATGATAAATTGCTTGTAATATACTGATCCAAACTGATATGCAAATCTTGTTTTTTAAATATATTACTTGAGTAAAAAGAGGCATCATTAACATATGAATGCTATATGCAAATGATAGTGACAGAGCAGATGTTGGCGCATGTAATTGACCTATATGTGAATTGCATCAGAACCCTTAACTCTATTAATTCACTACCCAGTAACTAGATATTGTCCAAAAAGTACATTCTTTGAAACCATATACTGGAAGCAAAGCTGACAGGGTTCCAAGGATTCTGAAACAAGGTCACTGTCACCAGTACTTTGCTGTCATCTGCATTCCCTTTCTTATGGATGACATCATCACGGGGCCGTGTAAATCGATCACTTAATAGCATTTAGAAAATACTGCAGTGGGGAACAGGTTATAAAAAAAAATGCCCCAGTTTTATCCTTTTTCTTGGCAGAAATGTCATACCTCTTAAACTGAGGGTTTGTGCATGAGTGCACTGTGAAACACACAGATGCCATTTTATTCCCCGTCTTTATTTTTCCACTTCTTCTCAGAATGACATTAAATTGTATTAAATAGCCTTTTGTCCACAGGGCACAGACCACCCCGCATATGATAATGTATTAATGCCCCACGTTCCAGCCACTGAGCTGAAACATTCTGAGACTTGGAGGATAAGTATGAAGCACCATTGTGTGTATAGCCTGCTAACAACTGTGACACATACTAATAGAAACATACCTAATAAATTACTGCTTTCAGGTCTAGCAAGCTGACATTTCTCTGCAAGGGACAATTTTATATTTGTGGCACAGAACAAAATTGCTTCATATGAAGCCACTGTGGATTAGCATAAAAATTAACACTTAAATTTCAGCTTATTTTCCAGCCTCTCCTCCTGCCACAACAATCAATTCCTCTTATAAATCTGATTAGATTTTATGATGCTTATTATTCAGAGCATGTCTCAACACAGCATTCACAGGCTTGAAGACTATTTGTTTAAATAGAAAAAAGAAGCAGATAAATCTATAGGTATTTTTTATTACCCCATTCCCCACCAGTTTCTTTCTCATATTGTAACATCAGTAATTGATTGCACACATTAATTAACATGTAAGGTAGAAATTCTGCATTATGCATGATTTATTTTCCTATCTGGTGAGTAGGTTTGTCTGCTGCCCTTGTGTTTCTAGGACATTGGGCTCGATTCTGGTCCAGACATAAATGCCAATGCTCATTCCCCCTGAAAGTTATTAATGTCAGATATGAAATGAGATTTTTGATTTCACCTGCTTACTAATCCACAAAAGCTGTTTTGAGTGATGCAGGCTTAAACGCCGAAATTTGAAATGATATATTGCTATATCTGATAACATGCAAATATGTTCATTAGACATAATTTAGCAGGAGAGAATAGCAACACTTTTATAACAAGTCTAGGTCAAAAATGGTGGTTAATTAAACAAGTCATGAAAAATGGCATTACAAGGAGACCGTCCAGCAGACACCAGACTTTCTAACGGTATGCCACTGATAGGCACCCAATGCTTTCCACCAAAACAGAGGGGAAAAAAAAACTTTCTGGGTATTTCGCATAACCTAAAGCAAGGTTAACAAGACTATATCCACATTAAGAACCTCAAATTGATCACACATTCTCCTTGGATTTTAATGGCAACACACTATACTTCCCCATCTGAAGATGTGATTTCACTTTCTGTCTTAGTGGCTTAAAGTGATTTATATGGTTGACTCCTTCACAAATAAACCAGAAAAGAAATTAATATTATATCCGGCCATGCTGCTGGCTGCCCTGAGTGTTTATGGCTGTGTATTTTAAATCAAGTAGAGCGATAAGCAAGGGGCTGGTGGGCAGCGAGGGCAGGGTTGGGGGCGGAGGTGGATGCGGGATAAACGCAAAGGAGGAACGTGTGTGCCTGTGTATCCTCCTTTGCCCGTGGTCCTTCTCAAGTGTACACTCTGGTTACCTAGGGAACCACCACATAGTAAGAACTCCTTTGATTGGCCACGAGTTGAGATCCAATGTGGGTGGGGTTCTGATACGGAGGTACAACAGACCACCTGAGCTTGGCTTCTTGGGCTGAGGCTTCACGAATACCTGGGCGAACGAGGGAACCTGGGAGTTAAGTACAGTCTAACGGGAGACTGGATGAGTTGCCAACTGGCTGCCCTCACTGCTGGGAGGAAACTAGTCTAGAGAGATGAAGGCTAACAGCATCTTCTGGGGCCAACAGGTGCCCATACAGCCTGCAAGTGTGAAAGCCATTTGTCGGCGTTCCACTTATCAAAAGGATCCTTGCAGCCAGATACTTAAAACACAGTGTGTAAAGCAGAAAGGGCACAGGTGTGTGCATTTGGAGTCATGCACAATACGTAAATTTGAGTGTGAAAGCAAATAACCATCTCAACAAACCAAAAGAAGTCCACATTTAAGCCATCTAAACAATCAACCTGTAATCATGACACCAGCTCCAAGCTTGACGCAAAGTCCTTTCTGATCCTCACTCATTTGGTGGAAGCAGGTCCTTCCCTAAATACCTCACATCCAAGTATCAAACACTCTCATTCTTAGCCCAGCTTGCAGTCAATATTATTACTGTTGCTAGAAATCTCACCTCGTCTTTGGATTGTGTTCTGTGTTTTCTCTGTTTCCAGGCACAGAATCTCAACTAGAGAAACAGGCACAGTAGCATTTGTCCTGCCTGTCTTTCAGGGAGAATGGGAAGTTCCAAAAAAGAGAATGGATGAAAACTCTTTGATGGAGGAAGAGAAGGAAACGCTAGTGGTGCATGACTCTTGGTATTTTTTCACTCCCACTGTGCCCTTCACTGCATCTTCTGCCCCATCCACGTACGCCCCTCATGAGTTCACCTGGGCAGACACCCCTCCTTTCTACTCTGTCACACCACAGCCCTGGTTCCTAGACTCAACCATCTACTGCTTCCCAGTGGAGCACTCTGCCAGTTCTGATGTTCCAGGAGCAACCCAAGGATGGCTCAGGGTCACATGACCTATTGAGGGTGCCCGGGGAGCCCCACAAATTCTCAGGCCATGGGGAAGGCCTGGGGAGGGAGGGTCAAAGATGGGTTTAGCCTGAGTCTCTTATAGGCCAATAATTCTCTCTCAGGGACTCTGGCACTACTTAGCCAATTTCACGTGCCTCTACACCCATCGATGAGAAAGACGCCCAGAGTCTACCCTGGGTCATGGTTAAACTAGTCTACATTTCTCCAGAGGCTTTAATTAATTTCAGAGTGTTTTATTTGTTGAATGAATGAAGGAAAGAATGAACGAACCAACAAATACATACATGAACAAACAGGTGAATAAGTGAATGACTGCATAACGGCATGCATGAATAGATAGATAGAAATGATGACTGAAAGAATTTACAAAGTAATAAATGCATGAATTAATGCAAAAATACACATGTAAATAGAAAAAATGCCTTATGAATGAATGAAAGAATACTATTGGTATCGGTTTTTTTTTTTCCTTAAACATTGGCACCTGGGCTAACAACTGTTGCCAATCTTTTTTTTTTCCTTCTGCTTTATCTCCCCAAAACCCCCTGTACACGGTTGTATATCTTAGTTGCAGGTCCTTCTAGTTGTGGGATGTGGGACGCCGCCTGAATGTGGCCTGATGAGCGGTGCCATGTCCGCGCCCAGGATCCGAACCCTGGGCCGCCGCAGCAGAGCGTGCGAACTTAACCACTCGGCCATGGAGCCGGCCCCTATTGGTATCTTTTTAATGAACAGTATATACATGAGCTCCCATAGCGTGCCCGCCTAATGGGTTGATGTAAGATAGAAAAGAAGAAATAACACGGTCTTGCTTATTGTTGAAATGTTTGGTCACTCACCCTTGCCTTCCTTCCTGTATCTCAAAGAACATGGGCTCCTAGTGAATGCTGTGCGGCAGCCAGCAAGATTCTGCCCAGAGCCTCACGCACCCAGGAGAGGGAGACAGAAACGCCTCTCCCGCTGTCTGAACCTTCAGGGGGAGAGGACGCTGTCAGGTGTTTCTGCCGTGAGACAGGCTTTGGTGCAATCCTGCACCTGCCAGGCACCGACCCACTCTTCCTGGGAGGCGGGAGCCAGAGCAGTCAGGAGCACAGACCCTAGACCAGACCTCATTGAGCTCCAGCGGCGATACTGAAAAGTCACAGCATGCCCGGGAGCCTCCGT